TTTTTTAAAGAATTTCCACTAGATGAAAACCGTAAGCTGAGACATTCTGATGGCCATTTTATCAATAAAATATAAAGTTGTATATATATATATATATCATATATAAATGATTTTTACTCGAAAATCACTTACACTCGAAAATCATTTATATATGATATATATATATATACAACTTTATATTTTATTGATAAAATGGCCATCAGAATGTCTCAGCTTACGGTTTTCATCTAGTGGAAATTCTTTAAAAAATGTAATGTATAAATGTTTGTCGCATGTCCTGCATCCGTGTGTTCGCTCTCACGCATGTTCGCACACTAGGAGGAGGACGGCACGAGGTTCGTTCAGATCGCAGCGCTGTTCTCGGAGCTCGTCGCCATCGACAGCCACGGCCGGCTGCGGCAGTGGCGCTGGCACGACTCGCACCCCTACACGTCAGCCGACGTTAGCATCATGGTGAGTGCATGGATCTTAACTGTTCGTCTGCAGACGGATTTCCGAAAAAATCCAAAATTCGAAAAAAACTGCACTTTAAAAGAAAGTAGTATTAATAAAATAAATCATAAAATAATAAATAAAAGAAATTATTTTAAAATTTAAAGAAATTTAAAAAGTGAATTGCATCTAATGATCTTAACTATGTATGATTGTTATATAATCTTGTATAATAGTGTTTTATCCAAGTTTTTATGTTACAGATTAAATTTTGTAACATTTAACTCACCTTTTGTTGTTGACATTTTTTTTCAGTCCCCACTTTTTCTTTTGTTTTACATTTGAGTGTGTGCTTGCAGCGCTCGTTTATCGTACTCAGGCTGTGGATAGCGCTACAATTGGTTATCAGTGGATTATTGGTGATCAGTGATTGGTGGATGGCAGTTGGCTGTAACATTGATAACATGTTGTGAAATAAACCTATTATCAGGAGTAGATAATAGGGAACCCCTAACTCCCTATTATCTACTCCTGCTATTATGTATCGATCCTTCTATTTGTGTCTGTAGGGAAGTGTGTATCACCCGAAGGCACCATCACTGCAGCTTGTGGAGAGAGTAGTGAGCATTGCATCTTGCAGTGTTAGGGCTTCTGTCCTAACGGAGTCTGGAAAGGTATTCGACGATATAACGATGTAGTGCTACGTGTCTTATAACTCCGACCGTAGTTGGAATGAGTGTTGAGGAATCCATGTTGCACCGAGAGTTTGCAACGATGCATAGTAATGTGTATGCTTAGTCACTGTGGTTTTATTAGTTTTGAGTTTAGTTTTATTAGTTTGATTATTCTGAAATCTCGTGTAGATATGTCATCTAGTGGCAGTAGTTGCTACCGTTACAAATTGCCAAGGTAATTAGTTGGGGGTTTGCAACTGACATGAGATTATTCTCAGGGTTGAATTGACCTATGTCTGCCTGCCTAAAGTGATTGACAGGTAGCTCTAATCAATCAGAGGTGCGATAGAGCCATTCTAATACAGTAATAGGAGTGGCAATGCTACGTAGGTGCCCCCCATTAATGTGTTGCGCTGAACGTGTTCACATGCAGTGACAGCTTAACAACGTTGGTGTGGCTATCTCACTCAGACGGATGGGTCTGTGCCCCCCCCCATTAACACATGTAGTATTGTGCAAAATGGGGTCACATGTAGTGACGGTGTTGACCTTGGATTTGACCTTGGTTGTAGGTCGCGACCTTTGTTGACGAGGCGCTGGACCAGGTCGCTGGTAAACTCGAGCATCCGGCGCAGCTGTTTCCGGACTACGCCGGCGACAAGATACTGTCGCTGCACGTCTGCTCGCTGTACACTTGCGCCAGACTGGAAAGCGGTACCCTCTGCTGGTGGTGAGTGCTACTCGTAGTAAATAGATGGATAGATGGATGGTAGAATGGATTGATGGATGGATGGAGATGGAAGGAAGGATGGATCTGGGTAGATTGATGGATGGATAGATGGAAGGATGGGTGGATGGATGGATGGATGGATGGATGGTTGGATGGAGAAAAGGACAAACAGACAAACAAACAGACAGACAGTCAGACAGACACACAGGCAGGCAGGCCAACAGACAGGCAGACAGACAGATACCAAGACAGATATATAGGTAAGTAGTTGGTATGTCAGATGTGGATGAGAGTGCTGTATGTTTCCATGCAGTTTTGATAATCGAATACATTGATATCATGCCCACTGGTTTGTCATTTCTGCTTCTGAAATTTTGTGAATGAAAAATTTCAGGGGAGTTCTGCCATTTGGGCAGAGGAAAAAAATGTGGGAAAAGATCAGGAACAAGGCTAGGAAGCAGCAGGGCCATGTGCCGACCGGATCAGAGATAACAATTGGATCGCAGGTTTGCATATGTGTTTCCGTGCCTGCCTGTGCCTGTGGTGTTTGTGTGTGTGCGAGCGTGTGTGTGCATGTGGTGTGTGCGTGCGTGTGTGCGTGCATGGATGGTGATGGCATTCACATCATAGATTCATGACCAATGTGACGACTCTCTATCCAACAATAATTCGAATGTCAAATTACATTAGTATACCCAGTGATATAAAATGGTTGTAGTAGTAGTATCGTATGGCATCAACATCACACCTCCACGGCCCCACAGGCAATCCAGTTGCATATAAAATGGTGTGCACTAGCAGGGAGCTTTCCCTTTTGCATACTAGGGCAGTTTTGAACTGTAGTGCTCAGAAATGTTGTCTATTGTAGAACATCGTGGGTTCGTGCCATAGGTGTACATAGTCATTGCCGATCTCCCTGTCGTCCCATCGTCTCGATCTAACAACGTCCATGTCGTGTCGCCGCGGTGAAACGCGTGAACACGACCTAACGACCGGCGGTGCGTTTGCGTGCAGGTGTGTTTACGTAGCAGTCCCATGTACCACGTCGGCGCGGTGGGTTTCACGAGCATCGGAGGTCGCCCCCGGGTCGGCCAGCTACTGGAACCCGCGTGGAGCCTCAACGACAACTGCAGGTTCAAGTTACTGCACCAGCCCAAGGCGGCCAGGTAAAAACCACATGTGTTCACTTGTGAGCGTCGCTCGGGGGAGTTTGTTGGGGGAAACGTGTGACGATGATTTAGCGTCGGCGATTGTTTCTGTTGGAAATGCATGGCAGTTAAATCTGAGGTTCATTATGTTATTCACGAATCTGTTCCATTATTATTATCCGCTATGTCTTTTCGGTAATGATAATTATCTTGCGAATCTATCATTGTGAAGTGCTAATCATTGGTAATTATTAGTTGGTAATCATTAGTAATAAAATTATGCTATGATTCTATCTTCTATAAGTCTAATACTGTTTACCAAGTACATTATAATTGCATAACAAATTGATTGATTGATTGATTAGTGTATTTTTGCGATTCCTGCATGCAGTGTAATATCCTTGTACTTGCATCACCAGTGTCGAGCCAAAGTTGGAGCAGAAAAAGACCGAGATAAAAGCTGACAGCAAGTCTTCGGACTCTAAACCGGACATGCCTCCACCCCCATCACCAGCTTCATCCACGTGCAGCGATTCTGCATTCCCCAGTCCTGGACCAGTCAGTAAGTACCTCATTGCTGAGGAGTTTATAATTATGAATCTATATTATCAATTATTGCAGAAATGATCATTTTCTGCGGGTCTGCGGATCACATTTCTTTTTAACTGCAAATACAATTTTTGAGATCGGTGTAAATTTGTATCGAAGATTTAGTTGGTGAGGGGCATGATACGAATACCTTATCATTGTACTGAGACCAGATGTAGGCTTACTTCTCAAAAGCTACTCCGTAGGAATGTGCTCTACAGTACACGCTAGGCAGTGTGTGCGTAGCTAGTAGGTGCAATGTTTTTTTTATGTGGCACGTGCGTACACATCTCATAGGGAAAAATGCAGTGGAATTAATGTGTAGTCAGAACACAGGCAAGACAACCCCACCATTGATAAAAAAATGCTACGTATGATTAAATAATTATTAAAATATCATAGTATTATATTATGATATCTTATACATATATATATATATATATATATATATATATATCATATATATATATATCATATATATATATTAACATAAGATTATTAAAAAGTATGAAATTACTAACATTGCAACTTTTTACCTGTGATTTTCTTCCGCGTTTACAGAGGATCTCATATCGCTGCTGGACGCTGGCATCGGGGGTGACCACCCGAGCGTCATCATTGACGCTGATTCGGCCATGTTTTCCGAGGACATGTTCAACAGCTACTCCTCCCTGAGGAATCTTGGCGGCTCGCGCACTCGCGCAGGTGAGACAGAGAAACCACTGATCAGCAGCAGAATAGTGATTAACAGTGTAGCCCCATTATAACGCGATGGTTGGGGTCCATAAAATGTCATCGCGAAAAAAGCGGGGTCGCACTATATCGGGGTTATATATACATGGCTCTATAAGAGCAAAAAAGGGGGTCCAATGACCCATCGCGTTAAATCGGGGCGCGTAAAATTGGGGTTTTACCGTACCACCTACTATAACAGCTAAATAATGTCCGAATTAACAATTAAGTAATCTTCATTCCCCACAAGTCGTTTCATTTCTCATGTATAAACAGCAGAACAGCTATAAACATTTATATTATATGTATATATAATATGGTTTTGTATATATTAAAGTTGTATATAGTAACTACTGAGTTTAATCTAGTAATTACTGTCCAAATTAAATTGTCTATGCAAAGGAAAATTTAATAAGAGTTTGGAAATATTCGAAATAGTGACGTTTAGGTGCCTGTCAGACATAGGTTTGACTCAGGGCTCGAATTAATCGACGGCACCGACGGCAATTGCCGTCGGTGCCCCTATCAATTGCCGTACTGCCCCTGAAAATCCAACTCGACCGACGGCAGTCACCTGCCTTGCCCTTTTGTGTAATTGCCGTCGGTGCCCTTTAATCTGCTGCCCTAGTTTCGTTTTTAGTCGAGTCAACATAACGATTTCTTTGCGCGGGTATTTATGAGTCAGGTGTCCTACCTTGCCAATAAAGAACAAACCGCTTGCTCCCTAAGATGTCCTACGCTTGAGATGTAAGTGAGCCGGTGAAATCTGATATTTGCCAACCCCCCCCCGACCCCACCACGTGCTCGTCAGAGCGTGGCGGACGTGTACGACTCGCCGCTGACCTTGAGAACTCGTCCGACGGGCACCGACTTCACGTCCTCGATGAAGATGACGTCCTTCAGCGGCCACTGCTCTTCTGTTTTCTGCGGCGTGTCGCTCGGCGGGCCGTCGCGCCGACGTTGACGACGTCGACAGCGGGACAGTGATCCGCTGTCGCTTGCGTCGCTCTGCGAAGGAAGTGGAAATTTGTGGCTAGTTAGAGTGGTAGTTAGATGTAGGGCACTAATTACTACTAGTTTCTACTCTCTGCTAGTCACTATAGTAGTTAGAGTGGTAGTTAGATGTAGGCACTAATTACTACTGAACTCTATGCTAGTCACTAGTAGGTTTTTATTTTGAGGGCCACACCATACCAGCATTGGGACAAGAGTTCATTATGCCATATCAGTGTTGAACTAGCATTTGATCTCCAGCCTGAGACTGGTAGCTTTTGAGAAGTAAGCCTACATCTGGTCTCAGTAGCTAATGATAGGAGTGTGTGTTTATTCGTATCATGCCCTCACAACTACAATCTTCGATACAAATTTACACCTCAAATCTCAAAGCAGCTTTTATTTGACGAGTTAAAAAGAAATGTGATCGCAGAACCCCAGAAAATGATCATTTCTTGCCAAATAATTGATAATATAACGATTCATCGTTATAAACTCCTCAGCAATGAAGTACTACTGACTTGTCCAGGACTGGAATGCAGATCATGCACTCGTGGATGAAGCTGGTGATGGTGGAGGCTATGTCGGTTTGAGTCGAAGACTTGCTTGTCAGCTTTTATCTCGACGTCTTTCTCTGCTCCATAATCTTTGCGCTCGACACTGGTGTATGCAAAGTAACATTTTATTTACACATCGCATGCAGGAATCGCGCAAAAATACACTCTATCAACCATCAATCTATCAATTTGTTATTGCCAATGTATAGACGGTTGCTACTTGGCCGTAAACAGGTATGCTTAGACTTGATTAGAAGATAGATCATTTAGGCCATATTTCATCTTGTTATTCTAAGATTACCAACTAATATATTACAATGCAGTAGCGATCTTCAGCAAGATATTGTATCGCAAGATATTAGTGCATTACCGAATAAGATCATAGCTCGGATAATAACTACATGGAACAGAGTCGTGGAACCTACACACTAATGAACCCTCATCTGATTAATTTGGCCATGCATTTCCACTCAGAAAACAATTTCGCGGACGCTAATGGATCACCGTCACACTGTTTTCCTCCAACAAAGTTCCCGAGCGAACGCTCCCACAAGTACGAGGCAATGTGGAGTTTTACTCTGCCGGTTTGGCTGGGGTGCGAGGTAAGATTGAGACCTGAGTTGTCGTTGCGGAGGCTCAGGCTGGTGGCGCAGTAGCTGGCCGACCGGGGCGACGGCTGCGGGGAGTGCGCTCCGTGGAGCCGCATCGCTTCGCGGAGCGTGGTACTATGGGACTGCTACGTAAAAACACTGACACGCAAAACTTCACCGCGGGGTCGTGTGAGTGGTGGCTTGCGAGGCGTGTTTCGCGGCGCGGGCGCACGGACGAGCGGTGACGTTGGTGTGCAGATCGAGGGACGTATGGGGGGACCACAGGGTAGATTCGGCGGGATGACTATGCTAACCTTGCACGAAGCGCCGACAGGTGTTCGTTACAGAGAGAGCAGAGACGATTTTGCTGAGCCTGAGCAGTTCAGAGGACTGCGGGGCCTGGGTTATGCAGGAGAGAGGAGAGAGCTCCCTGGTAGTGCACCGGGATTTTTATATGGGCAACCTGTATTGCGTGTGTGGGCGGTGGTAGGGTGGTGATGTTGATGCTACGGATACTAACTATCTACAACCATTTTATATCATGGGTATACTAATGCTTAATTTGACATTCGAATTATTGTTGGATAGAGATTCGGCACATTGTGTGGAGTGGAGTGCTATGAGGTGGTGAGAGGTGCCGAGTCACCAGTCCCTGGCGACCTGGCGGACAGCGACGGCACTGGCGACACGGAGCGACGAGTGGGGCGCACCACACGCTCGCAGTCGACACACAAACCACCCACAGGCACAGGCAGGGCATCGGAAAACTTAGGCAAACCTGCGATCCAATTGTTTATCTCTATCCGGTCGGCAGCATGGCCCTGCTGCCTTCCTAGCGCTTGTTTCCCTGTATCCTGTTCTCCACATTTTTTCCTCTGGCCCAATATGCAGAACTTCCCTGAACTTTTTCCATTCACCAAAATTTCAGAGCCCAGGAATGGAAAACCAGTCTTGGCCATGATATCAATGTATGCGATTATCAAAACTGCTGGAAATCATACAGCACTCTAAATCCCATCTGACATACCAACTATCTTAACCCTGATATATCTGCTTTGGCTTAGCGTGTCTGCTCTGCTGTCGTTGCCTGCTGCCTGCTGTGTGTCTGTCTGACTTGTTCTGTCTGTTTGTTTGTTCTGCTTGTCCTTTTCTCATCCTAACCATGCATTCATCGGCAGTCCCAGTCCAGGTGACACCATCTTCCATCTCATTCCATCATCAATGTCTACCATAGATCCATTTCTTCCTTCCATCTCCATCCATCCATCAATCATCCTCTACCATCCATCTATCCATCTGATTGTACTACGAGTAGCACTCACCACCAGCAGAGGTTACCGTTTCAGTCTGCGCAATGTACAGCGCAGCAACGGCTCCAGCGACAGTATTCTGTCGCGGGCGGGTAGTCTCGGAAACACGCTGCGGCCCTCGCGCGGTGTAATACGGTGTAGTCACGGCATGCTCGAAGTTTACCAGCGAACCGGTCAGCCATGTCACTAAAGTCGCGACTACAACAGGTCAATCCTTAAGGTCATCACCGTCAATACATGTGACCCCATTTTGCACAATTACCTAAATGCTTGTTAAATTGGGCGAGGGGGCACAGACCATCCGTCTGAGGAGACATAGCCATCACCAACGTTGTTAGCTTGTCACTGCATCCTGTGAACACGTCAGCCGCAACCTATTAATGGGGGCACCTACGTGGGGCATGTGCCATCCTCCATTACTGTCAGTTAGAATGGCTCTATTCCGCACCCTCGCATTTGATTTAGAGCACCTGTTCAATCGACTTTAGGCAGGCGACAAGGTTCTGATTCCAACCCTGAGGACGGGCAGTAGCCTGCAATTCAGTTGCATTTAGGACCCACGGCCCAACTAATTACCCTCGGGGCATCATTTTCTGTCA